AGAGGATGGCTTTTATAAACTTGATACTAAAACAGGTATTTTAAAACAATTGTATGCAAAATCTGAATTCAGTGTTTGCAAAGAGAGATTTTTAACGAAAGAAGATGGATGTCCCTGCTGTAGAAATATCTTTACGTCAAACAGCAATAAAACAATCCCTTGGTACTGGGCAGGGTTTCAGAAAATGTGACTGCAAATCTAAATGTACCACAAATAGGCGTGCTTGTCGCAAAAACCAATTGCTACGTAATTCAAAGTGTCACCAATCTTTAGATTGCACTAATAAGTAAGTACAATTTTATCATATGTTTTGCAAATTCATTTCCCTAATTGTAGTAATATTTTAAACCGTTTGATTTTTGTATTAAAGTTTTTTTAATTGATTGATGATTGATTCAATCAACTAATTTGTTGATTGTATTAACTTGATTCTTTAGATATTGAAAATTAAATAAATAACATTATGTTAATTTAAGCGTACAGAAACGTTGCTGTTGTTCCAGCAAAAATCTTATTTTCACTTTACCGAGTGCCTAGTAGGTAATTTGCAGATTACCTAGAAAATCTGAACATTACCTAGGTAATTTGAGAAATGGAATAATTTTCGCAGCTTTAACGGATCACTCTAGTTAATCTGCAGATTAGCTAGGTAATGCGCACATTAACGGATTTCGAGCTTTAGCGGTAACATATATACAAATTTGCAGAAACAATAATGGTGTACTACCACAGTTCACTCTTGTGTTACAATGGAACAAAGACAACTGAATACACTGAAAAGCGACAATATTACACTAGTTCACACTACAATCAGTGTTGCTGAATCGTTGTCTCGCTGCACCAGAAATGATAAAAACACGCAACTCACAAAAACCTATGACACAAAGCGTGCCATTTTCAAACTCTCACAAATTATTTTCAATATTTTGCATTAAAATCTCGCGACCCCAAGATTTCGCTAGGCGACCCCCAAATGGGGTCGCGACCCATAGTTTAAGAAGCCCTGCTGTACACCATGCAATTTCCTGCTAGCAATAGAGTAGTGCTGGTCATAACTCCTTCAGGGTAAAGTTTTGAATTGAAATAACGTAAAAGCCAAAAGTTTGTAAGTTAATCAGGGTCTATTGCCCCTAAGCCTTCCATATCTGGTCATGATTTTCTATCTAACTCTGTTCTAGAGATTAAGGAAGAGCAGACAAACAGATGACAGTGGGAATTTATAGCTCTACAATTTTTTCAAATTGCAGCCCAATAAGTACAGACCAAAAATGAGCCATTAGGATTCATAAAAATTCCAGTTCATTTTCCGAAGAGTTTAAAACTCAGACTGTCACTTCCGGATAGAATTATCATCAGGTCCCAGATTATATAGTCTAGTCCAGTAAAAACATTATATTCAGGGAAAGTCACAAATTTGAAAATTGTGACTTTTTCATTCATCCTAAGGAACTGGAGCTTTTGTAAAGCATTTCAACATCACCAATTGCTTCTTAAATTTCTCCAGTTCTTTTTTTCATCTTTGGTAACATGAAGTCTATAAAATAAAATCGCAAATAAAACATTATGTAAGCAAGAATTGAATTCAAATAATGTGCAGTCTATCAGAATTGCATTTACTCCAAACATCTGACTTACTTGGATCCATTTTTGATTTCTTGAAGTCACAGTGGAATCAAAAAAATTTCTCCACTTTCTTCAGTAGTTTCCTTAATTCTGGAGATGGTCCTTCAATGAAAAGGTCCAGATAAGGTTTGTTGTTAAATTCAACATTTTTCTGTCCATATTTTAGCCTTTATCTCCTCATTGCTTATATGAAGTAATTTCAGTCTAAATATCTTGGGTGAAACTTTTGGGAAATCCATTGGGATCAGCCCATTTGATATGTTGTGGATCCTCTGAGGAAACTGAATGCTGCCTGGAAACTTCCTAATTCTTCAAAGAATCAGATGCAAATCATCCAGTTTCTGGATCCTCCTAATGTTGAGAACGCTCCAAAAATTCAGATGAAAATCCTTGGGTTTTGGATTCTTTGGAGGCTCTGAGATGACCGCTCAGGGGTCATTCGAATATTTCACCAATTTTTTGTCCTTTTTGACTACCTATCCCTACATCACCAATTTTTAGACACCTCATGCTGATGTCTCACTTGATCTACCATCCCAATATTAAAATCAAGCATTTCTGTAAAACAGATCTACATTGCATTAATTTATTATTATTTCCTGCCAAGGCAAGGCTAATTTTTAAAATAGGCCAATAGAAAAAATACGAAATCAACTGATTTACCACAGACAAGTCTGATGACATTGTAATAAGTAACTCCTAGACTAAAGATATGATATACTGGTATATCTTTCAGCAATATCTTTACCTATAATCTACATCTATAAAGGTCCAAGTGCTGCCATTATTCTTTCATGAAGATTCTATTAGTGTGCTTCCAACAGAATATAATTTAGTATAGCACCTCTACTAAAGTGTAACTATTTAAATATGCAAGAACTTGTGATCATTGATCAAAATACTTCTGCATAATGATTTTGGTAAAAAAAAAATTATTTCAAATAGGAAAATTTTTTGGCATCTTTAGGACATCATTATTGTACTAACACCCCATCACAAAATTTTTGTGTATCCCCCTGCCCAGTGAAGATGTCATATTTGAATGATCCCTCTTCATCTCTCTGCTGCACATTCTCCACACTTCTTTGCTTGTAAATCTTTGTTTGAGGATCCTATTCCAAAATTTCTCTTCACTCATTCTTCTATTTAAAACTGTAAATGAAAAACATCACTGGAGAGCACTAACAATAAACAATCCATTGAGTGCCAGAAATGCAACATTCAATAAAACTCGTTGTGTCATTCAAATAATAATATACATGTAACTTAATTTTTACCTCTATAACTTAACACTAAGATCAAATAAGCTATCGTTCCTTACTGGTGACACTTGATAATAGCATCAATTTCACATGTTAACAGAGAATATAACCCTTTTTCCAAGGTGCTGTGAGGTAATGCCAAACTCTAAGTGGCCACTGAATAGTTAATAATTTTTTAAAAATTTAATTATAAATAGAAATAGTCACTATTTGTACATAGTTAATATGAATATGTACATGAACTTGCACATTTAACGCCTTTATGAAAATTCCTGTTTAGACTGGCATTGTTGCTATGCAGGACTCTACATGGCATATACTATATTATAGAATGTTTAAAATATTACTATTATTACCATGATTAATATATTTAAATGGTATATATAATTTTAATACATATCTGAGAAGTTTATGTAAGTACAACTGATGTTAAAACAAATTAGCATTATTTTGGGACTACCAATATGTATATAACACATTGTTATATTCCAAACTGAGTAACCTACTTACCTTAATATGCTTTGAATATGTTTTTCCCATAACTTTCTAATCTAACAAAAACTTTGTATGACTATTAAATTAATTAAATTAAGTTTCATTTTCACATTCCAAAATTTCATAAAACAACAATATCACTGATTAAAACTTTATGTTGTGTACAGTACATGTACACATTGGAAAACTCAATGACCTAGATAATTTCAGAAGAAAGTAAATAGCTTTAAAAAATTTCTTTCTGTATATTTCCAGAAAAATTAATAAATTTGCTGACTTTAGATGTGTATAAAATCACTTTAATCCATAATGGTTGATTTTTCCACAGCAACTCCAGTTGGATGACTTCAGACTTTATTATATAAATTTAACACAGGTTATACTGTACATATGCATTTCGGGCTGTTGTGATTTCACAACCCCTCCACACTGATGTTTTAGAGAGAAAATAACATAAAACTCCATTTTCACATTTGGGTTTTCCCATAAATAGATATAAAACTGGATGTAATTTTGAAAAAACTTTTTGTATGTATTTATGGGGAAATGGAGTTTTATGTTATTTTCTCTCTAAAACATCACTGAGGAGTGGTTGTGAAATCACAACAGCCCGAAATGCATTTGTATAATCTGTGATAAATTTATATAATAAAGTCTTAAGTCATCCAACTGGAATTGCTGTGGAAAAATCAACCATTATGGATTAAAGTGATTTTATACACATCTATACAGTACTATACAGCATCCATATTATTTAGATTGCTGACTTTATACAAAATATGAGTTTCCATGATTATTTTAAAATTTTCTGACATTTCCCAATTTTCCTAGTGAGGAAGGAATCCTGTCATCTCTAAATGTTAACAGTACACTAGTCATATATTGAAGAATATTGCTATCATTTTGTGATGAACTATCTGTGGAGATAACGATAACTACATAACATGTGAAAACTGCTCTGTGAATATAGCGAAATACTTTAGTCTGTGGAGATGTTTCAGTATCCTAGTTTACAATTTGATACATGACATTTTACTAAAAATATAAATGCATAATTTTCTGTATTTGTATTCTCAATGTAATGATACTGTACAACTTATTTTTAAAAATTTCTAGTTAATGACTTTCATAAAAATCACCTGGTTGAAAATAAATTTATTATAAAATTATAGCAAAAATACTTACAGATTACAAATTATTTTTATAATAGTAACTGTTTTATTTTGATTAACAATATTCCAATACAAAAATTTCAGTATAAATCTATTTTCAATATATAGTGTGTGTGGTGTGTGTGTGTATATATATATATATATTTGTGTATATATACATCTTATACAAATCTCTGACTAGGGGAAAGGGAATAATGTTATGATAAAAGATGAATTTATTATCACACAACAGAATTGAACAATGTATATTTGTACATTTTATGTATAAACCTCTCCTCTGATTTTTTTCTAATTCTACATCCCCTGTCATTGATTAAATTATAAACTGTGATTAAAAAAATTATTATTCAATGTTAAATAATGATAACAATTATATATATTGATATTTTATCTTTACATTTAACTATATACATAGTATTATTTTATAAAGATCTCTGGTTTCAATTTAAAAACCAGTAAATAAAAACATTTTAAATGCTTCCATCTTTACATGTAATAAAAATTATCTTTGGTAAAAAGCAATATAAAAATAATAATCTGTTATGAATGTGTTTCCATATTTTGAAAGAACCATTCAGTAAATCGTCTGAGTTGTGCTGCCGTAGACTGAGACTCTGCTTGCAATCGTTGGTTTTCTTCTGTTAACTGCCTTACTTTTTGTTCCAAATTAGCCTTTTGATGTTGTTCCTATTAATAAAAATATAATACAATAATGTTAAAAATATATTTATATATGCTTTTGATATAAATTAAATTTTATTCTTAAACTATGTTTCAGCAATAATTACTTTAACCAAATCTTGTTGGAGTCTCCAGACAGTATTTTCTAGTTCATGCACTTGAGAAGTTTTATTTGATATACTGTAAATAAATAAATTCCTCAATTTCAAATCATTAACATTATTACTTTTTATTAAGTTAAAGAATAAAAATATATAGTAAACCTTGCTTCAGTTTCTCCTGTTTCTTCTACTTCTAACCAAGCAGATTTAGATGCAGGAAGATCTATTATATAAAATTTTATATTATTATTGATTCATCAAATTGATTATTATTATTATAACATTTACATTTTTTAAGTAGTGAAATTAAAATAAACAATAATTTTTTAATTTTTCATTTGCTGTTGTGTTCATTTCAAAGTACTATACAGGCAGTCCCTGAATTATGATAATCCAAATCATGACAATTTACAATTACAATGATTTGCAAAAAATTTTTTTGTTGTGTTTTTATGAATTCTTGGCATTTTTTGCAAATTGTTGTAATTCAAACCATTGTAAAGCATTGTAAGGGGTTGTCTGTACATCTGTTTCATTTTTTGCCAGGATAGTTTATATTTGAGCAAACCATAAACAGCCATTAACACATTAAGTGCCATGTGTTGCAAATATGCAACACACATTATACATTGAAATCTAAGCTGTGTTACTTCAAAGCAACATGCTAGTTATATAAATGTAATGGAAATAGTTAAAGCATGGCCATGGGAACAAAACTTGCATTTTTTTATGATAGAATACTAATAGGAATTTAATTTTTTTCTCCCATAAAATATGAAAAATAAACTAAATTTGCCTTTCCTAATGTTTTTCTTGCACAATGAATGTGAATAAGTACAATATCATAAAAATATAAAATATAAAAACAAATATTCATGAAACAAACTTCATTTGCTCTCAGTAAACAAACAGTAAAAAAANTTGCCTTTCCTAATGTTTTTCTTGCACAATGAATGTGAATAAGTACAATATCATAAAAATATAAAATATAAAAACAAATATTCATGAAACAAACTTCATTTGCTCTCAGTAAACAAACAGTAAAAAAAAGTAGGTATAGTATTTCAGTAATTATTCTATTTTTCTTGGATTTGTATTGGTCCATTTATGCAACCTTGAATGTGGTGGAAGTTTTGTTGAATTCAAAAGCCAATGAACATATAAAATGGTATAATATGATCAGAAAAAATCATTCAGGCCAGATATTACAATTTTGCAAACTGCCTAAAAATTGAGAAAAATGTTTTTTAACAATGAAGATAAAATTATATTAAATAGTTATTATATTTATGTTATTTTGTTCAAAAAGAAAGGACCATGGCCCAGGGTGATATTTTATGGCCCACTATTGTGACAATTAATGTATTAACAGAAATCAGAATTTATGCTTAAAAATTTTTTAAGCAAAATATTAGACTATTACTTTAATTAGACTGACTAATTACAATCAATGCAAGACATCAGTATAAATTATGGTACTCTGTATGCTGATACAGCTTACCATAATTCATCCATTACAGGATGGACAGGACTCCATTGTAAACTTGATCTGCAAATGCAGTCAATCACTGTAAGTGAGTAATGGAGAATGATTCCCTAATCAATAATACTCATGACAAATCATAAGGTTCTAGATTAGTTTAAAAAACCTAAACCCTATGGCAGTAGGCTGACATCCTACCAGACAGCCTTCTGTCAACCTGGAATTAGATGAAACAATATTTGAAGACAAGTTCGCCCATATAGGGATCACCATTTTTTGCGTAAGACAATACATTTCCGGCGACCGACCTTCCTTTCTAGGCTACTAGCTGCCAAAAAGTTTAAAAAAAGTCCTTTTAAAAACACAAAAAAATATCCGATTAAAAATACAAAGATTTTCTAAAATCAGAACTGGTGTTATACAAACGTCTTTCTTGTTACCATCTGTACTTACTCGGGGGTGTTTTGGCCTTTTATCCACAGAGAAGAGAGCGCTGGAAAATGTAGATTAAAAAAGTTCCCCTAGTGACGATATGGGCGACCTATATGGGCAAACTTGTCTTCAAATATTATTAAAAAATAAAAAGAACCATTGGACGAAAAAATTACGAATTATGACTGTAAAATATCGTCACTAGGGGAACCTTTTTAATCTACATTTTCCAGCGCTCTCTTCTCTGTGGATAAAAGGCCAAAACACCCCCGAGTAAGTACAGATGGTAACAAGAAAGATGTTTGTATAACACCAGTTCTGATTTTAGAAAATCTTTGTGTTTTTAATTGGATATTTTTTTGTGTTTTTAAAAGGACTTTTTTAAACTTTTTGGTGGCTAGTAGCCTAGAAAGGAAGGTCGGTCGCCGGAAATGTATTGTCTTACACAAAAAATGGTGATCCCTACATGGGCGAACTTGTCTTCAAATATTATTAAAAAATAAAAAGAACCATCGGACGAAAAAATTACGAATAGATGAAACAAGTTAAAAATTTTAGAGTTAAATACTTCCATTTGTCAAAATATGAATTATGAGAAATACGGTTTAATCACAGATATTGACTTAATATTATGGAAAATACTTAATTATTTAGATTAATCAATAAATATATATAATAATTGTCCAATATACCAATATTGAAGAAGTGATTGTTAATGAGTGTTAGTATATGCAAAAAAAAATTTCCCGTGAGCAATATACCTCTTTACTTTTTATGTTTGAGCAGAGGAAGGAAATAAAACAAATTCTGTTAGTGACTAAGAAAATACATAACCATTTTCTGTTGAAACAAAGCTTTAATACTTTTGTGTAAAATAACTTCCAATAAAAAATATAAAAATGTCATTCACAGATAATAAATTTTAAAGTACAGTAGTCAGTGAACAAGCTTTATTCTTATGCTAAATTGTGAGTTTGACTGAAAATTTATGAAAATTAGTAAATTAATCAGTTTTGTAATATTTTCCACACATTACATAATTATCACGAAAAAACTTAAAAGCATTTGTAAAATACAGTGGGTGATCGGTTAACGAACAAATCAGATAATGAACATTTTCGCGAAAGATTTTTATGTTCGAACAATGAACACTTGGTGGGATAATGAACACCCCACAGAACAAACACAGAAGAAGCGATGTAAAATAATGAATACTGATTGGTCTTCCCTTGTCTTCGAGCAACAATTCAAAACTTTTCAGAGTGCGAGAGACGTTGACATTGATGCTCAACCTGGTATGTAGTGATTGGATAGTATTCCTCCAAACTTTGAGACTCTCCCATGAAATTCCAGCCTTTTATTTTTTTGACAAAAACAATTCTTTTATGTATTCACGAGACTGTTGGGTAGGCACTCGTTAAGTTTTGTGTCTGTTTTTCTTTTTGAAAGGTGAGAGTATAATAACAAAGGTAGAGAGTGGGCAGAAGATGCCTAATGTTGCTGGGCAGTATGGCATGAATAGGTCTACAGTAGGCCGCAGTTCAATATTATTTAAGAAAAATACTGTATAATCAAGAAGACTCAAGCAGCTAAAGGAGTAACAAAAATCACATCTGAGAAATAAAGAACATCGAAGAGTTCATAATGGAACCTGAAACGGATCTGACGATAGAATAACGCCTAGAAACTTGGCGAGATATGTTTTCTTCTGAAAAAGAGGATTAATGCTGATATCTGCTATTAATTAAGCCAGCTAGTATTCACCCTATTTTAAACCCTTGTCCTCCCGGGACGTCTATGAGAATGTCCCGGGAAATCCAACACCAGATGTTCTCAAGGTCATCCAGCTGTGTAAACAATGACTCATCAGTGTCAAATTTCACAGAAAGGCCAGACAAAGGATATTAAACTTTGAAGCTTTTTCTTCAAAATTAATGCATTTCTTTCGTTTTCTTCAGTTTTAAGTATTTTTTATGCTTAATTACATTAAATTAATTAATCAGTGGGCGGCAAGGGGTTAAAGATCTTTTGAAGAAGTGAGATGTTGGAACAACGGTCTTAGAATGGCATCCAAACCAGGTTGAAGCTTGGGGATTTCTACAATTACAATGCTATTAATTACTTCTGAAAAATCCTGAAGAAGAGAGAAAAGCAATCCACATTAGGCAGATTCTTTAACTCCTACAAACGGAAAAAACATGACTAATAAAAATGCAAGACTGTGTATATATGTATTTTTATTATTACATATAAACATAGTAAGAAAGTATGTATTTTTTATTTTTTGGGGTCTCCAGAACGAATTAATTAAATTCCCATTAAAACCTATGGTAAATCGATAATCGGTTAATGAACAATTCAGATAGCAAACAAAGTCTTGGAACAGATTATGTTCGTTAACCGATCACCCACTGTATTTGCAAAATAATATAACTAAAATTTTATTTTAAAAATAAAACAAAACATTCCATTCAAATTCAGCAAATTAAGAAGAAAATAAATATAAATTCAAAAACAATCTGCTTATACAAACCAAGTCTTCTTTAATTAAACAAGTATACAAAATAATTAAAATATAACTATAAAGTTTCAGATAAACAAATATTGCCAATATGTTGTAAACATATAAAACACACAAAAAAAACACCTCAAAAATTAAAATGTGCATAAAATATTGAACTAACTCTAATTTTAGTAAAAATAAATTTAAAATAAATAAATGTAAATAAATAGGTTATAAAGCTAAAATGTTTGAATTAGAATATAATTGTATTAAATCTTGGTATCTTGTCTCCTAAAGAAGATATTAAAAATATTTCAAATTTATAAACCAACAAATCATTTATAAAATATTTCTACATCATTAATTGGAAATCTTAAGATTGTTTAAAAATTCCCAATACAGACTCTCCCTTATAAGTTAGTCAGTGGAAACATTCCAATAAATTTAGATTCCCTTTTTTTATATAATTAAGAACTGCCATAAAAGTTGAATGTATTTTAAAATTTATATTCTTTCACACATTGTGTCTTTTAGGAATCGTTTCAACTTTATATAAGCTTTACAATGCAGTGCAACTAATCATAGAGTAAGAATTATACATATTCTCATCTTCTGTCCAGAATTGAAAGAATTTTAAGAAATTATGTGCACTATAGACTACTTTTCTAACTTTTAAAATTAAACTTACCTATGTGTAAAGACTTAAATTTCATAGTACAGATCTATCAGTTTTAACATTAAGTTGGAATAAAATATTGTGAACAGTTATTTTACAATAATTTATTTGTTAATTCATTTATTATTG